CCCCTCCCCCTAAAAAAAATTACCCTTACCTACCCCCCCATCCTAAAAATAATGAAGGGGGACCCTTGTCTAAATACCTGTAAAAAAAAAAATAGACTTACCATTTGATGTCTTCTTTCTTTTCAGCCCCAAAAAAGGCCAAATAAAAATCCAGAATAACCAACGCACAAAAAAAAAACCAAACAAAAAAACGAGCGCAAAAAAAATAATAATCCTTCTTCACCCATGGAGGGCTCCGCGCAGACTGAGCTCTGCAGGGCAGGGGAAGGCCTATAAAGCCTTGCCCCGCCATGCAATTAGGCTCAGAGCACTCTGATTGGTGGGTTTAAGCCATCCAATCAGAGTGCTCTGACAGGTAAATAAAGAGACTGACAGGTAAGTCTCTACATTTACCTGTCACAGCACTGTGATTGGTTAGCTTGAAATCCACCAATCAGAGTGCTCTGTATCACTTTACACAGCGTGGAAAAGTTCTTTGGAATTTTCCCACGCTGTGTAAAATGACACAGAGCACTCTGATAAGTTAGCTTGAAATCCAGCCAATCAGGGTGCTCTGTGTCATTTTACACAGCATGGGAAAGTTCTTTTGAATTTTCCCACGCTGTGTAATTTGACTCATAACACTCTGATTGGTTACTTAATCCAACAATCAGAGTGCTCTGTGTCATTTTACACAGCGTGGGAAAATTCCAAAGAACTTTTCCACACTGTGTAAAATGACACAGAGCACTCTGATTGGTGGATTTTAAGCCAACAAATCAGAGTGCTGTGACAGGTAAATGAAGAGACCGTACATTAGGTCCCCCCCCAATTTTTATTTATGGACCCCACCAACCGCTCAGGGGTGGGCTCTGGGGAGAGGACAGTAGGCCCCCCCCCTTATTGTTATTTAGGACCCCCACACGACACGCAGGGGTGGGGGCTGGGGGGAGGACATTAGGTCCCCCATTATTGTTATTTAGGGCCCCCAGCCGTCGCATAGGGGTGGGGGCAATAGTTTATTTTTTTACAGTGAGCAGCCACTGGCTGCTCACTGTTTACTAGACACACCCCTACTCATAGTATAGCGAGTAGGGGCTGAATTTACTAATACTAAGTAATCTTTACTTAGTATTAGTAAATGTGGCTGAAAGACCAGCTTTTTGGTAGATAGCTCCCTAATACTGTTCTAGATAATTTACTGCAAACCAATTAGTTTGAATGACTATCTGTTCCTGTCCAAATTAAAGATAATAAAGTTGCGTGCACGCAGAAGTAAATTCACACTGAGACACAAGGTTCAGGGTAATGAAAGAACTTCAGAGAAGTTTAATGGCTTCTGACAGAAAATGGGTGCGCAGACCCTTATAAAGGCATTATTACATCATTGAAGAAAATCAAGATATAGACAAATAGACATTGTTAATTGGCTTAGGTGCTAAGATGTTAGTAAAATGCCCTCCCCATTCTTAGGTCACTATCTACGTAATTTCTTAACTCCTACAGGTTTTAGCGCCATCTTGTTAAAATGAGGAGCTCACTCGACGGGAGGGGCCTTTTGGCAGCTATCCATTTGGAGCGTAGCTGGCACTTGTTAGTTTCTCAAGGTTAAGTTTCAAGGATTTTAGTAAATACACATTTTATCAAAGCTATTTCTTGCTGACATGCAAATTCTATGTTCTATAGACAAAGCTTCCTTGTAAAACTATGGGGGCCTCTTAGAGGTATAGCAAGAGGATTTAAAGGGGCCTTACAAATTTATAGAGGCCTAATAATTCTACAACAGTCCCCCCTAAAATGTTATTTGCTAAAAGACAAAACTTTATTTGTTAGTATCAGAAGAAGTATTAGCCCAAAGACACAGAAACCCCATGACCGCTGACTTAGTGTTAATGCAAAGTGCAAGTCTATCCCTCTCTTGACCCTAACAGGCTGCAGCACATCCGTCAGTACGGTTCAGGAACACTCTTCACTCCGCTGGTAACCCATAGTGGCTTATCCACTACTTCTCCGTACGGCAGTCTACCCATAAAGACGGACGCTGTCCCTGTACTGTCCCTTCCTAGACTTTCTGCACTTCATCAGTATACGGGAGAGTTTGTAGCGGAATACAGGGTGAGATGAGATCTTGATCATCGATTGTCAGATGAGTGAAGGTTGGTGTTGCTTGGTCTACAGTTTTCTGCAGGAATTTCCTTAGGCATGGGAGGACACAACAAATGAGAAGAGCGAGAATAAAAAGAAAAATTAGTAAGGCAATACCAATCTGGACTAAAGCTCTCTGCCAACCAGTCATCCAACCAAACCATTTTTCCCAGGGATCAGTACCTCCAGAGTTTCTCTTTAACTCTTCTGAGAGTCTATTTAATTTAGCTATGGCCAGAGTGACTTTACCATTAGGACCTGTGTTTTCTGGAATGTAAGTGCAACAAGTCATAGTGTCGGGAAGTATTTTACAGACCCCCCCTTTTTCGGCTAAGATCATGTCTAAGGCCAGTCTGTTCTCGAAGGTCATTTGGGATGTGGCCTGTAATTGCTCGGCCAAGCCCTGGAGGGCATCCCTGGTGTAGTTCACGAAGCGCTGTTGGTTGTAATAGATATAATTAATCCAATTAAGGTTTTTGTTGGCAGTGACTATGGTAAAAAGTGATTCAAAACCTACAGCTACTTCATCTCTAGCTTTAAATTCATTAGGTACCCCCCTAGGCACCCCAATGGCATCTATGTAAATGTGGGGGTCAAAACTGCCTTTTACTGGGGTTTCGCGCCTTACTCTGGCTGATGTATGTGGAGGGTCGTATGTGTCATGATGATTATCAGAAATAATATGAATGGGCATGATAACTTTGGCCAGGGTACACTCACCCCACCACTCAGTTTCCAGCCTAGATCTTAACTGTAGATCCCCACATAACCAGTAAATATCCCCCAATGACCTGGTATGGTGTTGCAACAGGCGTATAGGAACAGTTCTGTAAGTGGCGCAATAACCTTTAGAAAAGTTATCCATGAATTTACCAATCCCGTCATACATGGCATAACAAGTGTAATTACCTCTATAGACTGTGACTCCATCTGGTGCAGGGCTCGAGTCCTGCAGGAACGCGTGGGAACGGCGTTCCTGCACTTTTTTTTACAGCAGGAACGCCGTTCCCCCTGCAGGCACTCAGGGGGCGGCAAGAAATGCCGCCCCCAAATGCCCTGTGTTCCCCCTGTCATGGGGGGGGGGGCCACCTGGCGAACGGCTCTCTCCCTGTCACACGCGGAGAGCGAGCTGTGTGCTCGCTGCTCCCTCTCGCCGCGCGGGATGTCTGCTGATGCTGGGAGCCGGAATATGACGTCATCAACCCGGCTCCCATCTACAGCAGACATCCCGCGCGGCGAGAGGGAGCACACAGCTCGCTCTCCGCGTGTGACAGGGAGAGAGCCGTCCTCACTGCAGCCCCACTGGACCCCAGGGAAAGGTAGGGATGCTGGGTGGGTGGGATATGTTAATTAGTTAATAATATTATTAATTTGTATATATGGAAGTCTGTGTGTGGATGTCTGTGTGTGGATGTGTGGATGTCTGTTTGTGGATGTGTGGATGTGGATGTCTGTGTGTGGATGTGTGGATGTGGATGTGTGGATGTCTGTGTGTGGATGTGTGGATGTGGATGTGTGGATGTCTGTGTGTGGATGTCTGTGTGTGGATGTCTGTTTGTGGATGTGTGGATGTCTGTGTGTGGATGTGTGGATGTCTGTGTGTGTATTTGTGGATGTCTGTTTGTGGATGTCTGTATGTCTGTTTGTGGATGTGTGGATGTGGATGTCTGTTTGTGGATGTGTGGATGTCTGTGGATGTGTGGATGTCTGTTTGTGGATGTGTGGATGTCTGTTTGTGGATTTGTGGATGTCTGTTTGTGGATGTGTGGATGTCTGTTTGTGGATGTGTGGATGTCTGTTTGTGGATTTGTGGATGTCTGTTTGTGGATTTGTGGATGTCTGTTTGTGGATTTGTGGATGTCTGTTTGTGGATGTGTGGATGTCTGTGGATTTGTGGATGTCTGTTTGTGGATTTGTGGATGTGTGTTTGTGGATGTGTGGATGTGGATGTGTGGATGTCTGTTTGTGGATGTCTGTTTGTGGATGTGTGGATGTCTGTCTGTGGATGTGTGGATGTCTGTCTGTGGATGTCTGTTTGTCTCAGTGTGTGTAGGAGTGTATTTATGTCTGTTAGCGTTTGTACATGTGTATGTGAGTGTATGTGCTTCTGTTAGTGTATGCATGTGTATGTTTGCAATTGCATGTATGTGCATACGTTATTGTAAGTTTCTGTCAAATAAGTGAGTCTGTCATTTAGTGTGTGTGTGACTATTAGTGTGTGTCTCTCTGTCAATGAATGAGTGTGTGTCAGTGAATGTGTGTGTCAAATCAGTGACTGTGTGTTTGTCATTGAATGTGTGTGTTACTTACAGTGTGTATCTGCCAGTGTGGGTGTCTGTCAGAGAGTGTGCTTAAAGGGACACTATAGGCACCCAGACTACTTCAGCTCCTTGAAGTGGTCTGGGTGCAGTATCCCAGTCCCCTTAAACCTTCTCAGAAACTGCAATAATTACCTGAGGGGTAACTCCAAGTCTAGTGGCTGTCTATCAGACAGCCACTAGAGGGACTTTTGGGTGGTTAGGTGACCAAAAGTCACCTAACTAATGCTGGACGTCCTCACTCTGTGCATGAGGACATCCAGCATCTGCTAAATACCCATAGGATTTTAACCCCTTCAGTGTCGAGTGGGGGAGGGGAGGACATGAGAGGAGGGGGGAACTATACGGAATTATAGTGCCAGGAAAACAACTTTGTTTTCCTGGCACTATAGTATTTCTTTAAAAGGAGCAGGAAAAGGTGGAGTCTAAAGAGGAAGGGGTGGGTTCTTAATCAGGAAGCGTGCACCCTTGACATGAAGGAGTGGTAAATTTAGATTAGGGGGGTGCTCTATAGTCATGTCTAGGGCAGCATAAAATTAAAATACACCACTGTGTGAGTGTGTGTGCACGCGTGTGTATGTATGTGTGTGTATATACACACACACACACACACACACACACACACACACACACATATATATAAACATACATACAAGTGTTTTGGGGGTTTTTTTTGGGAGAGTTCCCACACTTTTTTCCCCAGGACTTGACCCCTGATCTGGTGGCTTAACATTTTCAACTAAGAGAGGGTATTCTGCCGTCCATGCCATGCAGAGGGACCTATTAAAGTCATATTGGTAAGCAAAAAGGCTTAAGAAGCAATCTTCTATCTCTAAAGGGAGAGTTAGGGGGACGGTGCCAAGGTGGGGTCGGGCACCGCCACATACATAACATGCTGTTTTATTATGTTTGTTAGCATTATACCTCATCCATTCTAACCACAAATTAATGTCATTGAATCCAGTTTCAGCGGCCATGGTATCTTCAAAAGTGGGGTTAGCGATGGCCATCATATCTTTAAAGGACTGGATATGTGGTTTTAGCGGATTTGGGACCATATGATCAGCCCCTTGCCACTCTGGAGAGTGGGACATATCTCTGAGGTAGAAATGACCTAATTTGTTGTAGGAACCTTTCTTCCAATACATTCCCATTACATATCGGTCTGCATCCTCGGGGCCAGGATGTTCAATATTTAACATTAATTTCATAGGGGTACTTCCTCCAGGCTTTCTTAAAGTCATTCTTTGAAGGAGGGATCTACCCTGATTGTCTATCTTAGATAAAGAACTTTTGGGTTTATAACCCCAGGCAGGCCCAGTATTCCATCCCGCAGCCCCCCAGTAGTTACAGTCATAACCCCATTGTTCATCTACTACACAAACGTAAGGGTCTTTTGCTTGTGGTATATCTTTATAAATGGCTTGAATCTGTGACTTAGGGAATGGGCACTCTACAATATCACAGTAATCAAAAGTGAATGTAGCCACATGGGTACATGATGAATTATACCAGAAAGTGTACCCACTAGCATCTTTGGTGATGGCCACCTGCTGGGCTTTAAGGAGGCCAACTAAGGAGATAATGTACCAGAGGCACATGGTTGCATAGAGTTAGCTTCCTCTGGGGCAGGTGTCTTCTTGCAATGGGAAGCGTGGATCCAGTTAGGCCTTCCGGCCAATTTGACAGAGGTAGGGGAGATCAGGAGAACTTGGAACGGTCCGTCAAATCTTGGTTCCAGGGTGTGTTTTCGCACAAATTTCTTGACCAGAACCCAGTCACCGGGGAGCAGACTGTGGTTGCCTGTGTCAGAATCAGGATCTGGAATTGAAGAGAAAACTTGGGCATGGATTTTGTTCAAAGCATTTGCGAGTTCAGTTACATAATCTACTAAAACATCAGTTTGAAGTTGTAGTTGTTGGGGAAAATAGCAACCTAGCCTAGGTGCAGTCCCAAATAGAATCTCGTATGGGGACAATGAGGTAGTATTTTTGTACAAGAGCATTCATTAGATCTTTTGATAAATGTGCAGGTCTGTGTGCCCATTGTACGACTGCTGGGTACAAATTCTTAGGGAGGCAGAAATTGAGGTTGTTGGAGTACACTCCATCCTTCAGAACTGCCCCTTTCTGTTTCCACTTCTGTATTTCTTCAGGGGCAACTGTAGCCTGTTGTTCCAGCAGGATTTTCAGGTCAGTTGGAAGAGTCTGCAGAGTAAATATGGGAGTTTCTTCATTTCCGGACACTCTTCTTTCCACTTCCTGTGGTTCTTTTGCAGCTTGTTTTGCAGCCTGATCAGCTAGATGGTTGCCCTTTGCTTCATCTGAGTCCAACTTCCCATGTGCTTTTATCTTCAAAATAGCCACTTCTTCTGGGAGTAGGAGGGCGTCCATCAGCTCCTTGATTGCGGAACCGTGCTTGATTGGTGTACCGGTGGTGGTAAGAAATCCTCTTGTTTTCCAAATTAATCCGAAGTCGTGAGCCACGCCCAGTGCATATCTTGAATCCGTGTAGATATTGGCGCGCTTTCCTTCAGAGATCTTGCATGCTGAAGTCAGGGCTTGCAATTCAGCTTCTTGTGCAGACATAGTTGATGGTAAAGATGATGATTTGACAATTTCATCTGTTGTGGTTACGGCATATCCTGTATGGTATCTTCCTTCTTCATCAGCATATCTTGAGCCGTCCACAAACAGGGTGAGATCGGGATCTACCAATGGGTCTTCATGCACAGTTGGTAGATGTGTTGTTTCCATTTTCATCTGTTCAAAACAGTCATGAGGTGTATCTGGGTCGTAGTCATTCACTATGGTTAAATCTTGGAACTCATTCTCCAGGAAATGACGCGGCCATGCTTTTAGGTGGTCAGTTGTTGGATATTTGACAACACCATTTTCCTGTAGCTGTGATTCGTCCATAGTGGCCCATGCTTTTGCCATAGGCCCAAGATCATTCCATGATATTGTTTTCAACTTGGTCACAGGGACATGTGGAATGGCAGTGTCCCAATGACGGTACAAATGCTTGAGTTCCGGAGGTAGATGAATCAAGACCATACTGTTGCCTTCAGAATCACAGTAGAAGTCTTGTGCAGTGAGTTTTACTTCAACCAGCTTATAGAGTTCATCTTCATAGCAGGGTTCAGGAGTGATGTTTGGTTTGTACCACATGGTACAGAAGGCATGTCTTGCTCCGTCATGAAGGAGTGCTTGTCCATCATAAAAGGATAGGTTGGGATGCATTTCCTTCTTGATGGTGCCAGTGAGAAGAGAAACATAAATTTCGTCCATGATGAATCCGTAGTATACACCCCCCTCAGGGAGTGGCAGAAGAGTGGACGGATTGAGAACTTGACATCTTTGGAGGGTAATGTTGTCAGGCAACAAAAGATGACATTGAAGGCGAAGATGCCTGGCAGGAGTAACATGCTTAAGCTGGACCTGGTTGACTATGGCAGAAATGTCATGAGGGGCCAAGACAACCAGGGGGTGGCCAAGGACAAGATCTCCAGTTCTTTCAATGAGCTCTCTGGCAGCAAAGACGGCCCGAAGGCAAGAGGGACGTCCTCTGGCCACAATATCCAGTTGGCAGGAGAAAAATCCAATAGGCCTTTGGCGGCCTCCAGGACCATGGGCCTGAGTGAGCACTCCTGTTGCATGGCCATGTCTTTCAGAAACAAACAGTTTGAAGGGTTTGGTATAGTCTGGTAGGCCAAGAGCAGGAGCAGAATCAATAGCACTTTTGAGAGAACAGAAGTTGTCAAGGGCTTCTGTGGACAAGCAAAATGGGTCTGACTTGAGAGCATCATAAAGAGGTTGCATAAGGAGCGAGGCTTCTGGGATCCATGCTCGGCAATAGGAAATGAGGCCTAGGAAGGCGTGTAGTGACTTCGAGGTCCTTGGAGGTGGAATGTCCAGTACCGCTCTAACTCAGTCACGGGTAAGATGTCTGGTTCCCTGAGACAGACAATGGCCAAGGAAAATAACAGTAGGTTGGCAGAATTGCAGCTTGAGACGTGAAGCTTTACATCCTTGTTCTGCTAGGTAGCAAAGAAGATTAAGTGAGCATTGTTCTGTTGTGGGTATATCATCTCCACAAAGCAGCAAATCATCCACATATTGAAGCAGGACGACCTCAGGATGGTCAGATTGCCATGGATCAAGGATAGAGCACATGGCCTTCGCAAATTGACTTGGTGAATTTTGTGCCCCTTGGGGCATGACAGTCCATGTGTACTGTTGTTTGTCATGTGTGAAAGCAAACAGATATTGGCAAGTTGGATCCAGGGGAACACTGAAGAAGGCATTGGCTAGATCAATGACAGTGAAGTACTTGGCAGAGGGTGGAACGCCGGAAAGGAGAGTGTGTGGGTTGGGCACTATTGGAGTGTTCAAAACTGTGGCTTCATTTACCGCTCTGAGGTCTTGGACCAATCTGTACTTTTCTGGTTCGCCTTTTGGAGTCTTTTTCTTTACTGGAAATAATGGAGTATTGCATGGTGATTCACATTTGACAAGAGCACCCTTCTCCAGGAGTGCTTGAATTTGAATTGTAATGGCTGCAGCTTGAGCTGGTTTCAAAGGATACTGTGATTTTCGTGGCAATTTTACGCCTGGGATGAGCTTTACCACCACAGGCGGGACCTTTAGATGGCCTATGTCCTCTGGGCCTGTGGACCACAGCTTCTTGGGAACATCAGTCTTTAGTGAATCAGGGAAATTAGTCCTTAGGTCTTTTGCATCCCCATGAGGCTCTTCTAGATGTAGCATCAGGGGTAAGGAGCACAAAGCTGAGGTGTCTGAGACAGATAGAGGGGTGGATAGTTCCACTTGTCCATCTGGAGTAAAGGTGATGGATGCCTGCAGGCGTGGAAGAACATCAGCTCCTAACAGGTTAATGGGGCATGTGGAAGATACCACAAAGCGAGCAAGCAAGTTGTGGCAGTTACCAACCCGCAGTGGGGTGGACAGGGGACTTTGCCTTGGAAGGCCGTCCACCCCAACACAGGAGACATCAATATTGGAAAGAAATGAGGTATCGGGCAGGTCTTGTTCTCTCAGAACACTTCGGGCTGCACCTGTGTCAACTAGGAAAGTGGTGGGCTGGCCCTCAATGGGTAAAATTACAGTAGCTAGAGGCCCCCCTTGTTCCCCTGAAGACACTGCCATGGCAGGGGCATTAAGCATCAGCGGGTTTGCTCTCCTCAGTATGGGCTGTGTTACTGACTCAAACCCCTTTCTATGTCATTAGCCATAGCTTTTTGCAGTCTGAACATGTCTATCATTATAAATAATGGTTAATAGTAAGTTAAGTAAAGTTCCTATATGTCTTTGGATAAAACATTAACTATTGCGGTACTATCATTTATATCAATTAGACTATAACAATTATACCACCCTGTAACTAAAATGAATAACCAGTAGTGGCTGGGTTAATAAACATGTCACAAACCCTTCTAATGCTAAACCATCATTTAAAGTAAAGGATGTTACTGTAAACATAAGATCTGTAACTAGCAAGATTCGATTAAGTAAAGATACAATGTTTAAAATAACTTGCATTATTTAGCTATTTCCCTTGTTGCAAGATGAAGCTGGATAATCAGCTGTTATGCTCTTATATTCGTGTCCAACAGATCTCATTTGTAGGTCACACCACAGTTGCAAATTACATTTTAGCAACCTTCTTTTTTTTTTTTTATATCACGGACAAATTGTTGATACAGGGAAACAAATGGCATGATTGTTTTAGTAATTATCTAAATGGGACGAGCATAATAGGGGTAGGCCTCATGATGGAGGCAGCCATGACAGGGGCGGGGAAGGAAATGACAGCAAGGGAGGAAGTGAGAGGGGTGACGTCCATGATATGTGTGGGAAAGGAAGACAGGAGGTGTGGGCATGGTAAGGGCGGAAGTGACGTTACTTTAGAAGCAACCGTGACTGTGGATAGGTCACGGGACTGGCAGGCGCCATCTTTAGGGTGGTGGTTGATGTACTTTCAACCATACACTATATTAAAACTATTAAAATAAGTCAGAGAAGCAACATTCTGTTCTGCAAAATGGAATACTAAACTATGAACAGACCTGGCAGGTTAAATAAGACAGTTGAGAACATTATGCATTTAACAGCCCATACAGCTGTTTCTAGAAACATGTACTTTAAAATAACTTTAAAATAATAAAATGATGCAAAATAAACTCGCGGAATTCAACCAAATTCCCTTATCTTCCTCAAACCATTAATCACTTTCCTCCTCTTATACTGACTTAACAACATCGCATATTCCCTCTACACCTTCCTAAATCCCGTATTCAACACTGAATGCAATCTTGTGAGCTCGTCACTCCCACAATCCTCAGTACCTTATACTCTTATCAGTAGCTTCTGAATAACTCTACAGAACACCGAAGAGACAGACCTAAATCGCAAGCATGTCACTCTTGCTACTCGGTACCAGGCTTCTGCTGTACAAACCAAATCTTGGTCCGACAGCTTCTCTTTCTTCTCTGTCAGTAACTTACGCCAGCTCTCTGGCTACGATCTGCCGCACAGAGGTACGGTAATTCCACATACTTTAGCAATCTTCCTCACTTTCTTAACCATCTCTTCTCCTTCTCTGTCTTCCACTAGATCACATGCTAACCAACCCTTACTGGGTTTATCTAACTTCTGTCCCATCCTCCCCATACAAGGCGTCCCAGATATAGAGAGAGAAAGGAACAGAACGTCTACCGTGCTCGACTGCTACTTTAAGAGCAAGCTCCTTAAGTACGTCTTCCCAAAACGTAGACTAGTCACTGATTCCGCCTACCCGTGGTAGCCGCGGATTGGAGCGTGGCGAGAAGTGTGTGACCAATCACTTCTCTCAACAAAGAGAAAGAGAAATAGGAGGGGAAAGTGTAAATAGTACAGTGAGTAAGATAGAAGTAAACACAGGAATCTGTGTGACAGACAATTAAGACAATAACATTTCAGTGTAAATACAGTGCATGCATCACAGTTCAAATAAGTTCAACAGTTTTATCCCTTGCCTTTACTCGTGTGGCCAAAGCCACCTCCCTCAACCTCGTAGTGTCCCCACACGGAGAATGACTTCCACAAGTCTCACTACCAGCAGCCACAGGAAACAGCAACAGCTTCCAACCCGAATCCTGTATAGCCTAAAGAATTGGAATCTTACCTGTCTCAGCGCTTGAGACTGGAATTTTACCAAGAAGAAGTGTCTGATGAGGCTAGCTAAGCGGTCAAAATGACACTCTGGGGATCCCCAGGAAGCAGTGAGTCTACTGCCCTCCACAGATCCCCCCTACTCTTTTTCCTTACAGCCACAGCCACGTGGCTCCTAAAAGAGTTAAACAGGCAATAGAGGACCCCCAGGAAAACTTCCACAGGTCCACCCCCCTTTTTCCTTACTACCACAGGCATGTGGTACCTAGAAGGGGTTAAACAGGCACTTACACTCCCCGGGTACTAAGTTAAACACATACCAATACAAACACACCCAGGCAACAGATAGTCAACATGCAGGTAAACTAGGTATCATTAACAATACAAAGACTCTGGGCAAGTTATTACCTGACTTTGATATCCTCTCGGCAGCAGTCACAGACACTGGGGCAGGTCAATCACAGGGGTAGGAACATACCGGCTAGGTGCTGCAGCAATCTCTACCGTGTATTCAGAGGTGATCAGGCTCTTTTCCTTCCCCCAGGATTCAGCCCCCCCAGCGTCTTCTTGGACAGCTGCCCAGACTGGACATAGCCCAGAGCCCCACGTTGGGCACCAATTGTTCTAGATAATTTACTGCAAACCAATTAGTTTGAATGACTATCTGTTCCTGTCCAAATTAAAGATAATAAAGTTGCGTGCACGCAGAAGTAAATTCACACTGAGACACAAGGTTCAGGGTAATGAAAGAACTTCAGAGAAGTTTAATGGCTTCTGACAGAAAATGGGTGCGCAGACCCTTATAAAGGTATTATTACATCATTGAAGAAAATCAAGATATAGACAAATAGACATTGTTAATTGGCTTAGGTGCTAAGATGTTAGTAAAATGCCCTCCCCATTCTTAGGTCACTATCTACGTAATTTCTTAACTCCTACAGGTTTTAGCGCCATCTTGTTAAAATGAGGAGCTCACTCGACGGGAGGAGCCTTTTGGCAGCTATCCATTTGGAGCGTAGCTGGCACTTGTTAGTTTCTCAAGGTTAAGTTTCAAGGATTTTAGTAAATACACATTTTATCAAAGCTATTTCTTGCTGACATGCAAATTCTATGTTCTATAGACAAAGCTTCCTTGTAAAACTATGGGGGCCTCTTAGAGGTATAGCAAGAGGATTTAAAGGGGCCTTACAAATTTATAGAGGCCTAATAATTCTACAACAATACCGTGTGAATTACGGAGTTATCTACTAAGCGGCTGCTTATTTTATGTTATTTTTAAGTTATTTCCCTATCCACATTTGTTTGCAGGGCACTTGTCCTACTCTTACCTCCATTTTACTTTCTTTTCCAGCCTTCTAGCCCTTTCCAGGAGTTTTTTTTTTTTTTTTTTTAAATTCTTTATTTTTCGCTCTGCCATTCAAGCGTGGCTACAATAGTGCAAACAGATGTGAATACATAACCGCACAAGTGTTGTTGGTGCGTAGTAGAAGATACAGGGTAACAAAATGAGTACAAGCATCTGTCACAAGCTGTGCACCTTTGGTGCATCTCCGCCAGAGTTTTCTTTTACATTAGTAATCTGATAAGGAGAAAGAGAAAGAAAGATATATGGAAGGAAAGAAATAACTATGTACAACTGTCGACTTATTGAGGAGTGTGTTGTGTCCTAGGCTCTCCGGGTGACTGCGATAGGAGTATTGCATTGCCTTGGCCAATACGTCTGTGTGTGGTATCCCGAGCTTGCCCAGGTAGCTCAGGCATTGTTCCCTTTCCGTCTGCCCTGTCTCTGCCCCCCACTTTGATCTGGCAATCCGTCAGGTACGTAATATGGCAGGGTTAGACAGTGTTGAAGTTTTCCTCTCCTCGTGTTTGCTTACATTGTCTGAGGTATTTACCAAAGATAGAAGCAGATTGGTGAAGAATAGGTAGATATAGGTAAGTATAGTGTTCAGTATGTTGTAGTACAGAAAATTAGTGATCTCCTGTGAGTCAAGAACCCCGTGCCGCCCACCCCAGTGGGCCGCGGCCCTCGTTCCTGCTTTAGCCAGTCCCCCGTCCTTCTGTGGAGCCGCTTCCACCCGTCCGGGTTATGGTATGCCAGCGACCGCCGGGTGAGCCTCTGCCATCGCTGCTGAATTGTGCCGCACAGATGCCGCCCCGCGCCCCGAGCCTATGTGTCATATTGCTCCCATGGTCCCCACACCTTGTGAAATGTGGTCAGCGTGTTCCGCACTTGGGCCGTGAGTTTATCCATCAGATAATTATCGCGGAGTTTCGTCCTAACCAATGATAGCTGCGGGAGGTCCGGGCATGACCAGTGTTGTGCCACGGCCCTGCGGGCCGCTAAGTATATCATGTTATGGAGTTTTTGTTCGTGTCTCGGGAGGCTCTCCGTGGGTCTGGATAGAAGGCATGCCCAGGGATCTAGTGTCATTCGTTTTTGTAAGATTTGAGAGCTGAAGTTTACTATGCTGCGCCAAAAGGCCGCAACCTTTGGGCATTCCCACCACATGTGGATGTATGTGCCCCTCCCCCCACATAGGTGCCAGCAATCATCTGTAGGACGCAATTTCATGTGTTTTTGCTTCACAGGAGTCATGTACCAACGGAATAGCGTTTTGTATGATTGTTCTTGGAGTGTTACGCAGATAGTGGTTTTGGTGCATGCCTCCCAGATGTCCTGCCACTCTGTTCCCTCTAGGGCCTCCCCCAGGTCGGCTTCCCACTGGTCAGCGTATCGGAGTGCGTCTGTCGTTTCCGGGGCCGTGTTGAGGTGGTTGTACAGTAAGGTAATTAGCTTGGATTGTGTAGTCTCCGTAAAACAGAGTTTCTCAAAAAAGGTTAGAGGTGTCAGGGCTGCCTTTTTTACGTCAGGGCTCTGTGCAAAGTCTCGAATTTGCAAGTACCTGAAATAGTCTCTAGTGTGCAGTGGAGCTTTGGTGTTCAGGTGTGCGTATGTGACTATTTCCTGGTTTATGAATAGGTGGACGTATCTCTGGAGCCCAGTGGCCTCTATCCCTTTGTAGTCCCGGGCTCTCATTCCCGGTGGGAATGCCCTATTCCGGAAGACCGGTGTCATGGGAGATAGAGGGGGGCTCAAGGAGTATTTCAGTTTAGTTTGGTCCCATATCCGTATGGAGTTCAATATAGCCGGATTCGTGGTTCTCAGTATGGCCCTTTGTGTTTTTGGTGCCCATATAAAAAATTGTGGGAGATCCTGTCTCGTCATTAGCGACTCCATGTCGACCCAGCGTCGCGTATCAGGGGGTGTGTGCCATTGTATGATCTGGGCTAACTGTGCCGCTAGATAATAATTATATACATTAGGTAGTCCCAGTCCCCCCCTGGCTTTCGGTCTGTACATGAGTGTGCGAGCCATTCTCGGGCGCTTGTTGTGCCAGATGAAGGAGTCTATTGCCCGCTGTATACCCGTCAGGTCCCCCCGGGTCACCTGTACCGGGAGTGCCTGAAAAAGGAACAAGAGCCTCGGCAACACATTCATTTTTATTGTGTTGACCCGTCCCAGCCATGAGATGGGCCTGTGTGTCCACTGCTCCATTTCCGTGATAAGGGTCCGAAGCAGTGGTGTATAATTGCGGGCATAGAGCGACGATGTGGTTGCCGTTAGG